TACTCTCTCTCTCTCTCTCTCTCTCTCTCTATATATATATATATATATATATATATATATATATATATATGTATGTATATATATAGCACAAGTAATTTGAATTTTGATGTATTCATAATTCATAGCTGTAAAGTTTGTGAGTAGAAATTTGAAGTTTGAACACTCAGTATCTATGTTGGCTCTCAAATAGCAACACTTTTCACCAATTCTTAATAATCATAGAATTGTTGTCATGCCTGAGATTGGGATAACACTGTGAACATCAATGCCAAGTTCTAACCAATTGCACCACTTTTATACCTTGGGCACAAAGTCTGACCATACCAGGTAGGTCCTTCCATAAATTGTTTTGCATGAGAATTTTCTTATGCCATGCCAAATGGTATGCCAATTTACCTAGGGATCAACACCATATTAATTATATGAGATACCAATCCTTCACCAAGGTACAACATGCAGTATTCAAAAGGCAGTCTAGTGCACAAAGCTCTTGCCAATACAGGATCTAGAGGCTAATCAATTTGGCTCATGGAGTACATGGTTGCATATGGTGTTCATGTCAAAATAGTTGTAAATTGTAATTGTTTTGGTAAAATATCATTGACTAGTAAATTGTATGTGTATGATTAAGTTTAAACAATAAGTAGGTGAGCGCAGGCCATAATCATATTTGTCTAGGATGGCATCATATTCATACTCGTTTATATATCTGTTTAAGTAATTATAGAAAATTTGACAAATGACTAGGAAAGTAATAATGGCCATCACATTTGTGGCTTATGTATTGCTTGTGCAGTAGCTTATGTACTAACCCAGAAATAACAATACAATTTATTTAGTTGTCTAGTGAAATACTATTAACTAAAAAATCATAAGCATATGATAAACTTCTTGTCCGAGAGGATTTTGGTATGCGGACCACCTCTACTGGCGGTACTAGTGTTTTGACCCTGTATTGGGCAATACAGGGTCTGTACCAAGTGGTAATGATCGAAATCCGACCGTTACCAAGGCATACCGACTGGTACGCTCCGGATTTTGATTGTTACCGAGGTGTATCGGTCGGTACGCCCCGAATTTTGACTATTATCGAAGCGTACCATTCGGTACATCCCGGTATTTTTGGACCGTTACCTCTAGGTATTTTTGGAGGTTTTTCAACTCTTGTTGGGTGTATTGCTAGTACGCCCCGACGGTATGCACCCACCAATACGGACCGAAATTGAGAACCTTGGTTTAAACAATAAGTAGGTGAATATTAGGCCATGAACAAGTTTGTCTAGGATGGCTCTGTATTCATGCTCATTTCAAATACCTGTTTAATTAATTATGTATTAGGAATTGGCAAATTTCTAGGGAATTGTAAAGCATATCGTATTCTTTGTAATATGTGGGTATTGTGGCCATGTACCGAAGCAAAACAATGGGAATTTGATAAGCATTTGCTTATTCATCAAATTAAATCAAAATAACCAAAACCAATAGTCTTTTGACTATAGTAGTAGTAGACTATAAAGATTAAGATCCTAAACTATCTGCCAATTGTATAACAAATTGCAGTAATATTTAATATTTATGTATTGTTAATCAAATCACGATATGCTCCATGATGTAGAATATACTAGTTTATGTGGTTATCGTTAATCAAATCATATTAGGTTTCAAATTAAGTAGGACTAAAACTGAATATATAAAATGTAATTCTAGTGATTCCAGGAATATATTAGAGAATATAGTTAAGTTGGATGGACAAGAAGTCTCTTTAAGTAAAAGTTTTAGGTATCTTGGATCAATTATTCAACAAGATGGAGAGATCGATGAAAATATTATTCATCGAGTAAAAATAGGATGGTTAAAATGATAAGAGGTGTCAGGAGTCTTATGTGATTATTGGATATATTTGAGATTAAAAGATAAATTTTATAAGACAGTTGTGGGACCAATAATGTTTTACGGACCTTAGTGTTGGGCAGTTAAGAAACAACATATACAAAAAGTTTGTATTGTTGATATGAGAATGTTGAGATGGATATCAAGAGTTACTAAGAAAGATAGGAAAAGAAATATTTTTATTCGTGAACAATTAGGTATCGCTTCGATAGAGGATAAATTGGGAGAAAACCGTTTAAGATGGTATGAGCATGTGCTTAGGAAATATTCGAATATGGTAGTTAGAAGAGATGAAATTATTAATGTTAGTTGTACGAGGAGAAGTAGAGGAAGACATAAAAAGACTTTAATATAAATTATAAATAAATATTTAAGTACTCTGAATTTGACTAAACATATGACTCTTTACAAATCTTAATGGTGGCAAAAGATCCATGTAGCTAACCCTAAATAGTTATGACTTGTGCCTTTGTTGTTGTTGTTGTAGTATATTTTTTGTTGAATTTTATTTCTAAGCTTTCTAGAACTTGTGCATTGCATTTGTCTCACTAAAAGAAATGTTTCAGATTGTGTCAAAGAACCTATTTTGTATACAATCATAATAAGATTGTGGTCTCTATTCAACCGACAAGATTATGCATGTATAAGTTTGGCTCTTAGAATATCTGCAGGGTGGTATTGAACTCATTAGGTTAGTTTCTCTTGAGATCTGTTCTCCTGACTGGATTCATTCTCTTCTCTGCAGCCTCTTGTATCTGGGGCAGCACTAGGCTTGGAGGGACAGGTAAACTTGTCCGAAAATTTGGTTCCTTTTATTGCCATATATAAACCAATTTTGAGTTGAAAATTGTTCATTATTAATAGCTAAAAGTAACAACTTTGTTATGCAGCTTACTGTGTATAATTATAATGGAGGTCCATGTTATCGTTGCCTTTTTCCAACTCCACCACCTTCTGCAGCATGTCAAAGGTGTTCTGACAGTGGTGTTCTCGGGGTAGGTGAGTTGCCTATAGTCTAGTTTCTTTTTTACTTGTTTGAAGATTGTGGAAGCTTATCTAATAAAATGAGAACTTCTTGATCAAATTTGAAGTATATTATATCATCAGTAATTTTGTTAAATTGCATATATTACAACATGTCATTATTGTCTGATTAGTTCCTGGGGTGATCGGATGTCTCCAAGCTCTGGAGGCTATTAAAGTTGCTAGTGCTGTTGGTGAACCTCTCTCTGGAAGAATGCTTCTTTTTGATGCATTATCTTCTCGAACTCGGACTGTATGTAACTTGATCCTTTCACTAAGGACTGTGTTCGTATCTATAAGCATTACCTTTGCCTTTTTTATGTAATTGTTTAAATCCTTTTGTGCAAAACATTGTTCTGTTCTCTTGATCTATTGTTAGGCATCTATAAATTTCATAAAATTACTTGAGTCTAAGATTCTGTACATTTTTATAGGTCAAGATTCGAGGAAGATCTCCAGCTTGTCTTATTTGTGGTGAAAATGCTGCATTTACTCGAGAAAAATTTCAAAGTTTTGATTATGAGAACTTCACACAATCTCCTATGTCTGATAAGGTAAGCTTGCTGCCTCGCACGATTTTCATAGTAAAATCTGATTCTTGTTTGGTCTAATTCTCTGAAGGCATAGACAACTCAATTTTGTGGTCAATAAAGTTACTTCTGGCTACTACACATGTTATCCTGTAGCTTAGCTATATCCTGAATAGTTTATATGCCACTAATTTCTGTTCTACAATGACTTCTGCAACTCATTATGAATTCAACAGCTATCATTTATGGTTGATTTTCCAAAACCCATTGTTGATCTGGTTGTGCGTGTCAATATGGCATTTGATGCAAGAAACAGATGTTTCCATAGGTTCCTACTGAGGTGCTAGCTTTCTCCCCTAGGTTAGGTTCTAGTTTCAGCAAAAAATATTTTATGAATATCTATTTAAGCAATATAAGATAATAGATTGTTGCATTTGCCCATGGCATTGAAAAGGTTGATAGCAAAAATATAATCCATAAGAGGCAGTTGGATTTGCATAATGAAGTCTTTCTAGATCTATATATATATATATGAATATATGTAGACTTAACATCCTAAAATGAATATAAGAAGAATAACAAACTTAGATGAATGCTGGAGAAACCAAAGATGAAATCCGATTTTATGCAATATGAATATATATATATATATATATATATATATATATATATATATATATATATAAAATTAACATTCCTAAAATGGTAATTAGAAATATAACAAGCTTGGATGAATGCTAAAGAAACCAAAAGATGAAATCAGATGCGCTAGAAGCAGCTCATACACTTTTGTTTGGTTCTGTATTTGAATTGTAGAAGTTATCCAAGTTTGATCACATCCAGCTTGACATCACTATTTACAGTCTAAGCCTCTGTGTTTGGAGTTCATAATAAACTCAAATAAACAAGTTGCTGGACTTAGTAAAGTAAAGCTAATAATCTGCAAATTTATTCCAGCAGGAAATTGGATAGAAAGAAGAAGATAAGTGGAGGAGAAAGAACGAAAAATATAGGAAAAAGGATGACTTCCTTTCCAGCATAATGGTCCTAGTGTATGCTACTTTTAAATTAACCAATAAAAAGAATCTCATGACTACTTTTCTCAATTATTTCTGCTGGATAGACTTTTTCGCTTCAGTTTCTCTTTCTTTCTTTAGAAAAAGAGGTTCTCTAGTTGGGACTGGGTTTATAAAACTTGAGCAGTACTTGAATTGTACAAACAAGACTAGTCCATTTTCCTTTACTAAAGTTAAATCATCAAACGATACTCTGATATCTAGATTGGCTAATTCTATAAATGCATAATCTTTTGTCGGACAAGTTGTTCCATAAACCTAAACTAAAACTGATTCATCGGAACACCTCGATCTGCCTATGCTGCTTCTTCTAGAGTAGCTGTGCCTAGTAGCTTTGTATATAACTATACACCGTAGCTTTGTATGAACAAGTATCTGTGTTGAATAGCTTATGAGCAAGTAGGTTTCAGAATGATGATAGAATAGTTATATCCTTGTACAACAAACCAAAAATATCCACTGGAGACCAAATCTATGTTGGAAATAATGCAGTATTTTCACACTACAGGATACTCGGTTCTTTTATCATATGATATGATTTCAAATTGACAGTATCAGTGCTGACCATTGTTGTTCAACTTATGTTGGGTTAGTTCTGTATCTGACATAGGTTGGCTTGTTCATCTCCAATTACAATTACTTAATGTTGCTCCCTAGATTACTATGTTACATTTTTTTCATTGATTTTTTTTTCAGTTGTGTACTCTTTGTGGCAACCAAAATGCCTAAGATTTTTTATCTGTAAATTTAATTGGATGCAGTCATCCGAGAAACTGAACCTGATTCCAGAAAGCTCTCGCATCACCGGTAAAGAATATAATGAAATTGTTAATACTGGTGAGCCACATGTACTGGTGGATGTAAGGCCAATACACCACTTCAAAATTGCAGCTATTCCCAAGTCGATGAACATTCCACTATCCAATTTGGAGGATAAGCTTTCAACCATCGATTCAGCTCTGAAGCAAGCAGCACAAGATTCTGGTAAGTGTGCTTCCCTGTTTGTGGTTTGTAGAAGAGGCAATGATTCCCAGAGAGCTGTTGACTACCTGAGCAAAAATGGTTTTCCTTCGGCCAAAGATATCGTCGGGGGGCTCCAATCTTGGTCTCAAGATGTTGACCACACATTTCCCTCTTACTAGGGAACTCGTGGAAGTTATGCTGCAAATCTAGATGATCTTTTGGTGTCATTACTTGGTTCCTGCTAAAGTGGACAACCTCAAGTGACACAAGTCAGATTGTAATGTGGTTAAATGTCGGGTAATTTATAAGTTTGTATGTTAATACTCATCTACTAGATTTTGTTTTTTTGGATGTGCACAAAAGCAAAGTGAATAGAAACTTGCGGAAAAAAAATACTTGGTTGCATGGCCGCATAATTGCTCTTGGAAACTGATTGGAGCACGGAAAGACGCAAGTATATCATCAAAATTTTCAGCAATATCTTCATGAATGTTGTTCATGTCAATCAATCCAAAGAGATAATATTATAGGGGTTTTCCTAAAAAGTCAGACAAAAATAATTCATATGAAAAGGTTAGGCTCGCTCCTGTCCGCTTCTCCGTCAAATTGGTGGGACCCCATCTGATCAAGCTGGTTATAGCCCTTGCACAATGAATGGGTTGGGCCGGTTGTGGTCGCCATCCTACTTGAAAGAGTTATACTTGGGTCAGCTTTCGACGCTTAATCTAAACCCCTTGCGCCCGCGATGGGTCTCGCGACCAAGCTCCTCCGCCACCATCGCCGCCTCCTTCTTCGTCCTCTCTCTTCCCCCTACCCTCTCTTTGCCCCTCCCGAATACCATAGTCACACCCCATCTCTGCTATGTTCCGATCACTCCTCGATCACCTTCAACCCTGGTCGTCGACCTGATAACTCGTTCCGATCCTTCTCCTGGTTCGCCTGGAACCCGGCTTCGGACAATGGCCGAGACGGAGGCGGAGAGACGCGTGAAGATGGAAACTTCGGAAGCTCGGAGTCGGGATCAGAGTTCAGCCCGCTCGGCGGCTCTCCGACTGGAGTGGAGCCCTCGATTATGGGCCTTGACGGGCCTGGAATGGTGGAGGAAGTGACCGGCGAGAGTGTTTGGAGTTACCCGATGCGCGCGGTTATCTCGCTTCTTGATGGGTTCCACGATTTTAGTGGCCTTCCATGGTAATAACTCCTAAAGGGCCCATCCTTATGATTAATCTATGCCTTCTTCTGCTCGATGAGTCATCAGTTTGTCAGCAACGTTTTTAAAGGTCTGAGATTTTGGAGATAGGCTCGCTAAACAGCGAAAATAGTTTACGGGTTCTTGAAGTTTGATTCGTTGAGTTGATGTCCTTGACAATTCCTATCATTACCTTACAAACACCATATCTCAATTTCAAATTTCTGAAGCCAGTTTTTCGTTTCATCTTGACCATAGGCAAAATCATAGGTTGTTTCGTCCGACTACGTTTTACTTGTATTTGTAAATAATCTAGTGTTTCATTTTATATTTGTTGGTTTTCTGTCTATTAGTACACTGTTGAGCTTGTTTCCTCATCGAAGCTACCTTAATCTTTCAATTCTAATGTCATTAGATTTCTGTGGTTAACTCTATAGTGCATCATTACTTCATAATTGTCACAGTTCGATGGAGTATTGTTTGCACTTTTTTGGGGATAATATTTTGCACCTGTTCTGCAGCTTATCATCATTTTGATCGATGTTTTTATTTCCACTTTTTTGGACTGCATTGCCCACTGTTGTACATGAAACCAAGACACCATATATCAACACGGGACTCGTAGCAGTCCCTGATCGGACTTCTATTCGACATGACCATATATCAACACCATATACCGGCTAATCAACACATGATATTCCGGCATGCTGTTCGACATGACCAAAGTAAAAGAGGGAGAGAGGAGGAGGAGATAGTGGAGGAAGAAGAGAAGTGGAGGAGGAAGAAGAGTGGGAGAAGGACGTGAAGGAGTACCAGATGAAGAAGTGGTGAGGACAAGACAACAGGAGGTGTGATGAGAGAGATTAATAGAGAGAGAGATAGAAAGGAGTATGAGAAGAATAAAATAAAAAGACATTTGTCAATGGTTCGTCATCTCAGGTACGAGACCCGTCTTGGTGATCTATCAGACTGGTACATTCTGGTTAATACTAGTGTATCGACACACGATACACCGATCTGTATTGGTGTTTAAGCAAGGAAGAAAAAGAGGGAGAAGAGGAAGGGTGATGGAGGAATAGAGGAGGATGGAGAAAGGAAGAAGGAAGAAGAGGTAGTGGTGGAGGAGGAAGAAGAAGAAAGAAGAGGAGGAGAAAAAGCAATGATAACGTACCTATGAAGCAGTGGCCGCATCGAAGCAGTAGTAGCAATAGAGGCAGTGTCAAAGTGACATCGTACGCAAGAAGAGGGGTTGCATTTGCGAGCCCTAATTTGGTCTTTTTTCTTTTTTAGCATTGAGTTGGATGAGGTCCATCGCTCATTCGTTATTTTATTATTTTAATCGGACCACCCGAAATGGGGGTGGTTGATGTATTGACCCATGCCCGGACCAGTACATATCACTCGTATCGTACCGCTTTGGGTGGTACAATAGTCCTTGCTTATCGCTATAAAAAAAGTTGATAGGGGTCGGCCAGTAAGCTTGGTTTTTGACCCAGACCGAGTGATAAGTTGGTTTGAATTGGATCAAGCTATTACGAACTTAGTTGGAACTGCCTAAGTAGTGAGGCACCCTTGTGTTATCCGCCTATAAAGGGTCAGTCTAGTTGCAACCTAGCTCAGGTCTCGAAGAATATGTAAAAGAGCAAATTGATTAGCTCGAAAATGAGTGACAGAAAAGTCTCGGTATCTTGCGAAGATGATATTTTTACAAACAATCCAATAAACACAAGGTGTGCAAGAAAGAAAAAAAAGAAAGGAGAAAGTAAGAACCTTAGAAAGAAAATGAACAGTCGCAAGTCTGCAAATGATTGCTCACTAGATGACGGGTGCATTAGCAAATTTTTGTAGGCTTAACGTGCGAACTTGTGAATCCAATCAATATCCAACACTACCCTATACCCTTATCCAGTCTTATGCCACCTGAGTGTTTATGGGGTGCTGAGATGATTGACATTTTGCTCCGCATCACAGCCTACAGAAAACAGCCCAAGGCACACGAAAATTGGGCCATTTTAGGGTAGTTTTGCCCATTCTGGTGAGCAGTCGTTTTGCAGCCCTGCGAACTGTTCTTGCTCACATTTTTCAAGCCAAAACACACAAAACCAGGGCAAAACACATTGCCAAACATATGTACAAGTAAACAAAAGCGACGAACGGTCCATTGACAAATGTGTTGTGTGTGTGCGACGATCGTTTGTGACAGAACAGTAAGGAACAGCTCGTATATTGGTTTTGGGTTGGATTAGTAATCTTTGGATGATACGTACCAGTTCACTCAATATTTAAAATCATGTGTGGAATGCTTTAACACTAGCCATTGGCCTATATATTGCACAAGATTCGTTTACAATGAATATAAAACAATGGCTTTTTACTTCCCTTGTGATGTTGTATTTGATATTTTTCAGTAGTAACATGAATATTAATGATGAGAACATGGATGGAACAAACATGCATTTGTTTATATTTAATTACCATATTTAAACTCTTGAAGAGCTTAATTGATAAGCATTGCTTCTTATCTTCCAAGTTGTGCAATATTAATTCTTTAAGAGCTTACATAAAACTAATTTTCATGATAGCAACCATCTCATGTGGCAAGCCAATTAGACAAATGTCTAACGTAGGGACACTGCAATTGTGAAAAGAAACAATTTTAGCATGTTCACCGTGTTAAAATCTCATGATCTTTCATTGGCCTGTCTTTATTTATGCAAACTTTTTACTGCTTATGCTTTTAGTATATGCTTTAGATTCTACTATAATTCTGGTCACACTCTATAGCAAGTATAATAATCTGGTGATGTACTGATGTACTGACTGCCTGCTTTGTAATGTTGATGGAAAACTCAATAAGTCAAATGCTTGCGAGTAATAGCAATACTTCATTTAATTGTTTGCATAAATAAAGTTGATTTTCTTTTGTTTTACATATTCTGTGTAATTCCATTGACCAAATCTTCACAAAATAATTTTTCATTATAAGTAACATGAATGTGATATTCTACTAATATTTCACCAAGCCATTCTTTGACCTTTTAGACACCACTACAGGTGGGTTATAATCTCCACTTCTACATTGGCTCTTCGGCTATCCCTACTTCCTATGCTTATTGTGCAGTTAAGGAAAGCTCAAGAAATTGCTCTGTTTTTCCCAAAATGTAAGAAATTTTTTTCATCTTGTGAAAATTCTTATATTGATAGTTGGGCAGTGTAGTTTCATGTAATTCGATACATGTGTCTTCTTTGGAATGCTAGATAGTGGTGGATGCAACACAGACTTGTAGTGCATACTCACCTTCAATGAACACGAGTACTTATACATATATTGGTGCATAGTTTTAACTAGGCAAATCACATTCCTAAGTAATAATTGATGTACTATTTTGATGTAGTGGGAGAGAATGATTCTTAATCTAAGTGTAGGATTTAAGATCCAGATCAGCTAAATTGTGGGATCCCTCATCATATTCATGAGGAATTTGCTCATGATCGACAAGAAACAGTTGCTAATAAGCAAGTTGGAAATCTGTCAACATTGGTTGGAATGAAGGTTCAGAACTCCAAATCGGCTGATTGAATTCCCATCCATCCAATTTATTTGGGTATGGCTTGATTGACCAGTTTATCTAACAAAATTTTGATATTTAGAAACATATATATTGAATGGTGGAAGATCTTCTTAGTATCAATTTTAAGAATAAGGGAAATATTCAAAACTATTCTAACTATAAAGTAATTAATATAACAAGTCATACTATGAAATTTTAGGAAAGAATGATTGAAGGTAGAATAAGATGTGAAACAAATATTTTTTATCAATTTGGATTTGTACCTGAAAGATCAGCAACAGAAGTAAGAACTACATTGCATATAGTTTTATTAATTAAAGAACTATGATAGAATCTTTAAAGATTTATTATGATGTGTTTTAGAAAAGAAATATACTCTATATTAAGAAAAAGTTTGTACTTATATAATGTAATTCGTCTTGCTTTTCTCAAGTTAGATTTGTTGGTAATTTTACAGTCAATATACTCAATGCATACACTTGACTTCTTGATCATTTTCTTCCATACTTAAGGTATTTCGTAATGCAGTATCCCTTGGCATAATAGTTAGTTCACTTCCATTGAGTTTTTTTTTTTTTTTTTTCATTTTGGCTTTATTGGGTACATAAGTACTGACTATAGATTTGGACTATGGTTTTCTGATTATTTATTCACTTTTTAAGTGCCACCTCCATTTCCACCACCTCTATCAGGAAGGAGTTTCAGAGAACAATATAAGCTTTTCCAAAAGAAAAGAAGAGAACTTGGGTGTCCAACATATTTGTGGAACTTTGCATTCTTCACTGTCCAGGTAAACCTATCGTGTCACTTATTGAACATAATATCGGTGTAAATGGTTGTTTTTTGTCAAATTTCTGCAACAATAAACTCTGGTAGATCAGTTGTTAACATAATATCATATAAATTTCTGAACTAATCAGTGATTTTTTATGGATATTAGATACTTGGGAAATACATATGACAGACCATATCTGATTAGACTTGTAGATAGTCTATTTACGTGTAATAGAGAATGTTTTGCTCATGCTTGTTGACTTTGTTGGTTTTTGCTACTAATGAACCGTTGTGCTTGGTTTTAAACTTGAATTTGTACTTATCTGTATGTTTCACAACACATCTGGTCTCCATCTTCTGATGTTCTATAGCTTGGTATAATATAATACTTACTATCTTATATCAGTCTAAATTATTCGTTTTGTGATCCTTCACCTAGATAATTCTAGGACACCTAGATAATTACTTGGATCTCACCTTTACAAGGGATCAAACCCAGAATCTCTTCAAGATGGGTAGAGGAAATCAAACACCAGGCGAAGGCCCTGTCGGTTAGTCCATACCATTATTCAGTTGTACTGCTGTCTGCTAATAGTCAAATCTTGGGATATCGAAACCAACAAAGCATCTGGCTAGAAACAATGAAATCAGGCCTGTGGCTAGCAAATTAGCTTCTGTAGCTTGATGTTTAGTATGTTAACATTTATTACGACATCTTTATAGCTTGTTTTTCTTCTAGATTTTTTGGATCTATCATCTAGTGTCAATAGACAAAGGTAAATTATGATCAAAAGTTGAACATTTTGATCAGGTCTCTTCTACTGTTTAATCTTATGTTACTTGTCTTTTAGTGACATGACTTTGTTTACAGGTACCTTGCTTTTTGTTGTGGATGACTAGTATTCGAAGAATGTGCCTTGATAATCACCCTGGCTTTGATACTGTAAGGATATTATCTTGAATAACTGTCAGTACTGCAAAGTGTTCTTGAAAGAGTGCTAGTGTTATATTTGATCTGGGCAATGCTTTCTTTCATGGAATTTATGATTTTTCATCCATATTTTGCTTAGTTCATTCTCTTACACAACTGGCAATGGATTATGATGGTGCAAGTATGTTTTAGTTATTTTCGTGCAGGAAAAAGATTCTGAAATTGCTTCCTTTGTGCAATGTCCTCATGGTAGTCTTAACATTGGTTGATTGGTGAGTTAGCATTGGACTTAACAATTAGTGAGCTTGCATTGGGCCCGGAATTTGTTGATTGGTGTAATGTGTCTATATGTTAGATTAAAGGTTGAAATTTTAAAAGCTCCAACAGGACCAGCAAAAATGTTGATGAAAAGATTTACAACATGTTTCGATGTCCTTGTATAATTGGTTTGCTGTTCAATGTAGTTGTTTTAGATGATCTTCTCTTATGATGGTGCTTGGGCATGCACCTTTTTAGTTTTTTTATGGTCCAAAAATTTCAAATATGGTACTATTTTGTTTCCTTCTATGATGTATCCCCCTAACTTTGCGTATCTTCCACTTTAGATGTTAGTGATGATGTTATCAGTTCATATTCGTATTGACAATCACCTCTTCAAGCATCAAGTACAGTCCATGAGGCTTTGTCAAAATTCAAATGTATCTTTGAGGATCATGCTCAAAGTAGATTCTTTTTCTTTTTGATACTATAATTTGTGTCTAGCCTCACTATCTGGAGTTTACATATCAGTCACATAGACTAATGCTGGTTGGATTGGAAGATGTGAATAATTACATGTAGGTTTTTTTGTGGGACCAATGTATAGCAGAACAAATGTAGAAAAAAGAGATAATGGAAGAAACAATAGTGGCAGAAAAGAATATATAGAATCTGGTGTCCTCAAAAGATTTCTTTGATAACTGCAACTTTTACTTCCACCTTGTGCAGCTTGGCATATCTTTTTAAAGAAGCACAATGATGTTCCCTTTTTCATTTACGAACTTGAAATAGTGAAAACAAAGGGATTAAGGCACTCGTCAAGATTTATAAATCAAGAATTTAAAGTTGCAAGTGATTTTGCCAGAAAGGACATCTGGTTCCTGTATAGTTGTATCCTAAGGGCTTAATAACATTCCCAACTCATTGCTGAGATGGGTTCCAAATGCATCAGTTATATTGACAACAGGTCTAGAATCGTAATGGTTCTGAATATTATCAAATGAGTATTGTTGATAATTACCTGAAATTCCATGAGGAAAAGGTGGACTAGTCCATATTACTATGCGACACAATTGTTTAACATGCAATTGCGCAATCTGATCCTAAGCTTATTGCAGCATCACATAAGATGTGACTTCTGACAATTGGACAAGCATTCTTCTAAATACCGAATAATATGTTAGAAGAATGTTGTCCACCCCTTTTTTAGCCAGCTAGTGAAGGAATAAAAAGCTAAATTGTGGAGAATGTTGTCCACCCCTTTTTAACCAGGTAGTGGTGAAGAAGCAATAATATGTTGAAATCGAAGATACAAGCATGGCTCCAGGAGGTAGATATATTGGCTGTAGTTTCAAGTTGTCTACTCTATTCTATCAACAACAATGAAGTCAAAAGACCCATTTTGCCTGGTTATATGTTTGATATAAGAATAGTGGCAACGAAAATATGACTCTACCAGGATCTAACTAATATAAGATTAGGTTATTTTTTATATAAGTTCTCAGAAATTTAATCAAGGAAATAATGTAACTGGCACAAGCATTAAGATGATGAGATACATAATTTAAAAGTGTATTGGAAATGGGTAGTGCCCGTACTATAAGGATTAAACCTTTTTGGTCTGCGAGTTTCATGAAGGCTTGAAATTGCTGCATTAGGTAAAAAGGTTGCTAGTTGTGGCAAAATATATTCTTCAGCATGACTTGCATTCATATTAAGAGCACTATGATCATATCTGTTCTTACACTAAACCATTGTTACTACTAAATGTATATTATGGGGCAGTACATTTTGCTAAGTCTTCCCTGCTTGTTAATCTGGTTGAAAATTCATGTTTGTCGCTTTGTTGCTCTATGCTATAACTGTTATGCTGGAATCAACATGATGTCAAACATTTTGTATTCATGGAACTTTCAAATTTGTGAAATGTTGCTATGTCCAGTATGAGTTTTCAATCCTTTTACCTTGTATATTGAGTTTCTGATTAATAATTATTCAGGGTGGTATGCTGTGGTTCCAAAATTTGACTGATTTTCCAAGTGGGACTCTGGGTTTTGTATTTCCTATCTTGATCTCTGGACTGCATTATGTCAATGTTCAGGTACTTATGTCATGTTACCCTTTTAAGATACAGAATTTAATTTTGTCATGTTACCCTTCACATTTTATGATCCGCAAGCATTCCAACTGGCTACATTGTATGCAATTACTTCTCTAGTTCAATATTACACTGATATGCTCTATCTATAATTGTTTGCTAATTAAAAGAAAGCTTACTACCTTCAGATCTCAACACTCTAATAAATTTCTTCTTTTAATTTGTTTATAAATTAAAGAAAGCTTACACTGATGTGCCACATTATGTTTATAAATATTCTATAATTCTCTAACATGGCATCATGGATTACTTTAACAAAGTAAATGAAGTAATGCAATTGATCAATCATGTTAAACCCTTTATCAGGGTTATGTGGTTGACATAAACTGGCACTTTGTTCTAGGAACAAGAAAAACTAGATCTTATCCTTATC